CTCCGCACTAAACGCTTCACTTTCCCCCATTTGCCTTTTCATGAGTTCTGTCTCATGCGAGGTTTGGATGCTGGTTGTTGAGCGACAGGAGGTTTTAGTCGGTTCAACTCAAAAAAAAAGGAGCTTAGAACGAAGTTAAGTACAAAAATAAATACGGATACTGTCACCGTGGCATAGATGTATCAGCAGCAACTAGATTTTTTTTTTTTTTTTTTTTTTTANGTCGATGTACTCGAACGTCGCGTTTAGGCGGTCTTCGGCCGTGACCGCTCTGCGCATGGCGTAGGCGAACGCACGCATGCGGTCGATATTTATCGCGGCGATATAATCGCGCACGATTGAGAATTCGTTAACGACAGGCCGCGCGGGGCCGGGGCGAGGCGCGGGACCGGGCGCGGGGGCGGGGCGCGGCGCGAGCAGGGGCTGGGGTAGCAACTAGAGCTGATCCGAACACAGTATCGGACTTTATAGTGACGGCCAAACTTATTGTTATTCTAGACTCGAGATCAGCTCAAGGTCTGGTGTTGTCCATATGTTCCGTTTGGCCATATTCAATTCCTTCATCCACCGTGAGACATGATGTTGAAGTCTCAATTGTTTTAAATTACGAACATCAGAACGCATTAACTGCTTAGATTACTTATAGTCCATGTTCCACTCTCACATCATCATCATTATCCTGCCCTTCTCCCAGTCACCTGGGGTAGGCGCAACATTTTTTTCTCCTTCCATACTCTTCTATCATATACAATTTCTTAGCTCTGTCCCCTCATACCCATATCGTCTTTCACACAATCCATTCATTTCTTCTTAGGTCTCCGTCTTCCTCTATATCCTTCCACATTCATAGTTAGCACTCTCTTACCAACCTCATTTTCGTTTCGTCTCATCACATGTCCATACCATCCTAAATGCGCATTTCTCAGCTTCCACTCTCCTGTTCCACTCACATATCGCCCATAATTTCGACGTTATGTTCATCATATTTCCTGTCGACCGAAAAAAAACAGGTCTTATCACCTATATACCATACGTAAGACTCGGAAATGCGCTTAAATCCCCATAACGCTTTAACGTTTATCGCGTCCATTATCTTTGCAGCAGTAAATCTCAGTCGACTTCAAAGATTTACTTTATGAATACCAGTTACAGTGTATTTATAGAATACAAGCACATAGAGTTGTGGGCACGTTGTTTGTGACGTGATATTTTCATTCGCCTTCCTTCTTAAGAAGAATGTGGTTTTGCTACTAATCTGGATCTAGTCATCGCTTCAAAATAATTGCGTGAATCTTCAGAATGTAAATGGGGACGTAATATTTGGAAAGATATCTATATATATAAAAATGAATTGCTGTTCGTTAGTCTCGCTAAAACTCGAGAACGGCTGAACCGATTTGGCTAATTTTGGTCTTGAATTATTCGTGGAAGTCCAGAGAAGGTTTAAAAGGCAAGCATTTTCATATTTATCTAAAATATGAAAATGCTTGGAATTAAATAAAAATAACAATGATATTTTTCCTTTGATGTGTCCCCCGTCGGATGGATTCCTTTTGTTTGTTTTAAGTTTATTTTATATAAAAGTTTAGGCCTTTTATTTATCGATTGAGGCACTACGAAGTCTGCCGGGTCAGCTAGTTTAAAATGAAAATATTTCGTCTGGAATGTCTTGCCTTATTTGTGGATTCGGTCCCTAGATGCAAGAATAAATTACTTAAATTTAATGTCGTTGAGCTTCAATATATTTCACAACATTACTACTAAATACCAATCCATCTCTTTGCGCAGGTGTCGTGATGGGAACCGGAGAATGGACAGCAGCGTTCTCTAAGTATTATACCGGCGTAATGCGATCACCATCTAGCATTTATTGGAGTTTTTTTTTCTTACCACTTCTAGTAACCTCTAGAGGTTATACTAGATTCACAGAACTAGTAAGTGAGCTCACGGGGCTCTAACCTGACGACAAATTGGTGGTAGGACGTATTGTAAGCTCACACAAATAAATACCATCTTTTTGCCTATTTCTGACATAAGTCATTCATGGGTTGCAGTTCGAAGAGTAGAGTAGCACTTTTTTTATTGCTATTGTAGATAGGTGAACGAGCTCACAGCCCACCTGGTGTTAAGTGGTTACTGGAGCCCATGGACATCTACAACGTAAATGCGCCACCCACCTTGAGATATATAAGTTCTAAGATCTCAGTATAGCTACAACAGCTGCCCCGCCTTTCAAACCGAAACGCATTACTGCTTCACGGCAGAAATAGGCAGGGTGGTGGTACCTACCCGCGCGGACTCACAAGAGGTCCTACCACCAGTAAACACTTAAACAATATCATTAAAAATTCGTTCTCATGTCTAAAAACGGCGGCATTTATTGTACCTTGCGATGTCTATGTCCTCCAGGAACAACTTAACACCAGGTGTTCCGGGATCATACGAAATAAATAGTAATAAATAAATAAGCCTTTATTGCTGTTAGCACTTAACTTATTTAACTAAACATAAAATGATAACAATAGAGCTAAGAAAACTATAAAATTAGCTTAAACTAAAATATATCTCGGCATTCGGCTTATCTCTCCTCTTAATAGTAATAAACTTTTATTTTTATATTTTTTATTCGCTATTATATTTTGTGCTCGCCGGAATTGTCTGTTATTAGAATTAATGTTTTCAAATTCAAATTCAAAATTATTTATTTCAACTTAGATGTCAGTATGACACACTTGTTGAATGTCAAAATATAAATAACAATGTTAACTCTACCACCGGTTCCAAAAAAGCCACAGTCCTGAGAAGAACCGACGAAACAAACTCAGCGGGCTTTTTTTTTGTTTTTTCTCAAATATTTACTTTTTTTTTTAAATAAATAAAAATATTTACAATAAAGGAAAAAACAAGTAAAAAAATACAATTAAAAATAATAATAATAATAATGAAAAATGAAAAGGCCAGGAGCAAACGCCTCATTCCCACGTAGTGCCATCTAGTAAATACTCCTTAACTTTATAATATGCCTTGTTGCACAAACGTTCCTTGACAGTTTTCTTAAATCTATGAACAGGTAGTAATTGAATGTAATAGGTACTATACAAATTTTCAGTTCTTTGATTATAAATTCTGTTGGCAATCTTTCAATTAGTATATAAATAATTAAAATAAATAATAAATATTAGGAGGGATGGTATGATGATGTAGGTAGTAAGTTATGCCAGAGATAACCGGTATACTCGTTTGGGTGAGGGCTGTACAGACTAAAACAGGGACGCATAAGGACCTATAGACATCTTGGTCCGCGTCAACATTGTCTAAGATGTTTGATTTTGACTTGGCTAATTAAAAGCTTAAATTATTCAAAGCTGTGATGAATAGTAATCACTCAGTCATTTGCCCGATCACTTTAAGCCTACACATAAATAACAAATTTATTGGTAGTAAGGACCGACGACCTATTGAGGTTCGCGGGGATCCGCTGGATGCTTGGGGGAGGCCTATGTCCAGCAGTGGACGTCTGTGGGCTGATAATAATAATAATAATAAGGATTCTGTTTGAAGCAAGAGCTTCAAACAGAATCACCGTCCTCCGCGAATCTGTATCAAGGTAGCAGATTTTAAATTGTAATTTCTATGGGTTTTCAGAAGAAGACTTGTCTCATGTGGGGTCGGTGCAACATGTCCTCTTATCATTCCGCATAAGGTCTGGCATGAGCTTTACGACCTTGCCTGTTCCTTACAACCCCCCGGGTTTTTATTATATCTTCAGTACCCAGTACATCCATTTCAACGTGCCACATGGGAGGACTTTTTTTCTTTTCTTTTGATGTCTTTTTTATTTTATTCGTTTTTCATTTGAAGCTCATTAATTTTGATTACTTTAAATATTTACGCTAAAATTTAGATTTGGAAATACCAAAAGATAAAAATTTCGTAATATGTATTTTGGTTTTTCTGTATTTTCATAATCGTGATTTCTTTGGATACCTATTATATATTTAATAGGAGGTGAGCACGAGTGCCCATCAGACTCCAGCTTGTGTCATATTGATAGCCATGCCTGGCTTTGTGAGCAACTACAACTACTTTTTTTTATTGCTTAGATGTGTAGACTAGTTCACAGCCCACCTGGTGTTAAGTGGTTACTGGAGCCCATAGACATCTACAACGTAAATATGCCACCCACCTTGAGATACAAGTTCCAAGGTCTCAGTATTACTACGACTGCCTCACCCTTCAAACCGAAACGCATTACTGCTTCACGGCAGAAATAGGCAGGGCGGTGGTACCTACCCGTGCGGACTCACAAGAGGTCCTACCACCGGTAACTACTTCTACATTATCCGTAGACCGTTATAATAGAAGCGGGTACAGGTACTGCCCTAAATATAATTCAGATTGGCATACATACTTAAAAATGGAATTATAAGTTGCGTGAAGAGTGGTGTGCACACAGAAATAATATCAAGATTATTGATTGATTTATTGATTTGATTGGTTTATTTCTGTGGGTGTGCATCTTTATGTAGTTTTCCAATTACAGAGCATAATGCGACTCAGTGACGCACAATGCCGAATTATGCTGAAGCTTAATTGGAACGTGAATTCGTTTTCAAATGCATCAGCAGAGTGCGCTAAGTTAGCACAGTTTTAATTAACATTGATTATTTCTAAGAAACTACGACGAAACGAAACCCTTACAATTTTTTTCAACATTAAATAATATTACTAACGTTAATATAAACAAAATTTCGATCAATGCCAACTTAAAGAAAAAACATTTGTCAATTTTCTGTCACTGAGTCGGTATCGATTGCGAGTATCACGCGAGAGCAGTACTTTTGAGAGTGCTGTTGGAGTGGAGTGGAGTGAGTTGGAGCATTCAACGTTGAGCATTATGCCGCATAATGCGCTCTTGTGCTGTAATTGGAAAACTATCTATCTTAGTCGCTTAATTAACGCACACATTCGGCCCGCCTGAAGCGCTTACCGAGCGGCGAGCGAGTTCATTTCGCATTTCGAATTTCGTTCGGTTCTTTAGTTTGTAAAAGACGCGCGAACGGCGTGGACGCTACACGCGGCCATTTTAAAATTTCGAAATAAAAATAAGAGCATACTCTTTTGAGTAAAAAGTGACTTAGTTCTACTTTTCATTCACGATTTTCAACTCGTCGGAATAAACCCTTCGAATTATTATTTCATAACACTGAATTATTTTGAGTTCTTTTCTAAATTAAATAATTTTTGTTGACATTTTTGGGGTACCAAAATTTTTCGGTTGTTTCCTAAAATATTAATGTAAAACTGCTATGGCGAACATGTAAGTATCTTCTAAATTATTTTTGTAAAGTTTTATAATAATCAAATATACTTAAAAACGTGTCAATAAATTGTCATATTTAAATATTTGAATATTTATAATGGAATGTGTACGAAGGCGGACGTCGCGACTGATATAATACCAAATAATGCGTAAATTATAAAAAAAAAGTACTAACGTGTATGATATTTATTTTAGGCTATTATTAATGGTAGGTATCGCGAGTGCGCCCGTGTAGGTAGCATCGTCCTGTCTATACCTGCCGTGATATTGTCATAACATAGTCCGTTGAAGTCAGGAAAACCATTTCAGGAGAAAAATATAATTAGGTTGTGATGTGCTCTAAAACCAGATGGAACGGAAGCTAATACATAAAAAAAAAAACTTGTTACAAAATTATCAAAAAACACAGGTGTAACGTTTTCTTTTTCGTTTTAAATTGAATTAAATTCGACACATCATAATATTTCTGACAATAATAAAAAATTACAACTTTTTTTCTTTACTTTACATTTTCTTTTTCGGTAGGCAGCGGCTCGGCTCTGCCCCTGGCATTGCTGAAGTCCATGGGCAACGGTAACCACTCACCATCAAGTGGGCCGTGTGCTTTTCTGCCTACAGGGGCAATAAAAAAAAACAAATATTATTCAGTTCTTTCACTCAATTTGGGTGGTCAGCTAAGTATAATTGATAATAATGCATCGGCCTTGTTCGAATTTTAATTATATTTTTTTTATCTCCGTAATCTGAGAACGTTGGTGTGATATTATCTAAAATATTTCGTCTTGTATCGTAAAGGAAGTTATGTCTACACCGTGATAAGAAAAGTAAACACAAAAGCAATGGATTTATGGCTGTGTATCATCTTTTCACCGAGTAGACAAGTTTCTTTGTCCTTGATGTGCCCTTGGCTGTGTGGATCGACTTCCTGATAATTTACTTCTGGCTATTTGTTAGGCATACTCATTTATTAGCTAAATCAAATTTAATTTACCAATGTGCTAAGTAATAAAGATCGTAAAATATAAATCGTAAAAATATAATCTTCGAATTGGAATGCTCGATTCATGCCACTACCGGTATCTACCAACCACGTCATTTCGGATCCTCCCGGTCCATTAACGGTGCTTCTAGGTACCTCAAGCATCGGTCATCGTTCTCGTCGAACCCGTCGCTTGCGACGAAGGGCTCGACGAGTAAATTAACCCTCAGACACAGCCCACTGAGTTTCTCGCCGGATCTTCTCAGGGGGTCGCGTTTCCGATCCGGTGGTAGATTCTACGAAGCACGGCTCTGGCTAGGATTCGTGTTAGCAACCTCGTCAAGCTTGAGCCTCGTGAGCTCACCTACCAGTTAAGGTTACGCTGATATAGCCTCTCAAGGCTCTCAGCTTAGGTAGGAAAAAAAAAAATCTACCGACCACCAGTATCCAAAAACTGACTTAGAAGCAAAGCTTGGTAATAAAACCGATTGATGAAGATTGAAATGGCAAAGATCTTAAACACATAGATATTAAAATGTATCAGTTAGTATACACTTGTACTAGGCACACCGACTGAATATAATATACTTCAATCAAATTTTGTTCACAATTTGATTGGTTATAATTACATAACGCAAAACTCCGATTATTTGTTTAAAATAAACGTAGCCTAAGCAACATCAGCTATTTGCCCCTGAAAATCTGATCCAAATTGAAGCAGACATTTCGGAAATTTGCCGGAAAAACAGTAAAAAATATATTTTTCTGTCTTAATTTCCTTATATACTTTCATGTATATTTAGTAATGGCATTGTTGATATGTTATATTAATTGAAGGACCATTTCAACGCGCGTCTCCGAAACAAATTTAAAAACTACCCTCTCGACACATTAATATAGACACAATAACTTCATAACAAAGTCTTTATTAATAACAAATAACTTAAAAAATACAAACAGGCTTTTCATTTTGTCGATGTCAGTTATACGAACGGAAAGAGTTCACGAGCACTCACGGATTTACGTATGAGCAACATGCGCATTCCAATTACTGGGGTTCGCTATTGAGAAACATTATTAATTTTTTATTTGTCTCGATAGGCAGCCGCGAATAAGGCCTGCCTGATTGTTTATTATTGTTACCATCGCTCATAGACATAAGTAATGCCAGGGTTACAGCCAAGCCTCTGCTTACCGCTGAGAGATCGTAAAAATCACACTGAAAACAGATGCTAAATTTAAGAGCTTTTCTTATTATTTTGAGTAACAGTTTAAATACGTGACGGTCGGATAAGTTTTTCCTCAAAACGTTCAGAGAATTCAATTGTTTTTTGCTCGATTTGAAAGTAGCAAGATCTAAGATTATATTCGGGTCACGAGAAAACGGTGGCATTTCGATTGAGTTCGGGCGCACATTGTCCGTGAATGTAAGGCAGTTTTCGCAACGGAACGCATACGTTTTATACTTAGAGCACGACCTGACGCTTTCAGTTCTAACACTAGGAGCAGGCATTTACCACTGCGGTCATCCACAGTGCTTTTCCAGAGATCTTATTTGCCACATACCATCCGGCTATGGAATGAGCTCCCCTCCACGGTGTTTCCCGAGCGCTATGACATGTCCTTCTTCAAACGAGGCTTGTGGAGAGTATTAAGCGGTAGGCAGCGGCTTGGCTCTGCCCCTGGCATTGCTGAAGTCCATGGGCGACGGGAACCACTCACCATCAGGTGGGCCGTATGCTCGTCTGCCTACAAAGGCAATAAAAAAAAAGCTTAGAGACCCCGGTAACCGTACTCGTGGAACTCGACAAAGAGTTCGACGTGCAACCTAACCTTCATAGGTTAGGTTGCACGTCAAAGATCCGGTAGTAGATTCATTCGCGAAGCAGCTGCTCTTGAATTGTTAGGTCTCCTTTGGAGGCGTTCGGGCAGCTGTTAGCAAATCCCACCCCTTCTGGCTGAGCCTTTGCTCACACACCTGTCCTGGTGAAACTGGAAAGGCCTCCGGGCCACCAGTAATTCTTCAAACATAAAAAAAAGACGACGGCCACTTCAATTTTTCTTATTTCTATTGGATAGTCTGTGAATTATACAAAATATTAAAAACGAGAAACGGTTGTGTCAAGGAGTATCATGGATATATGTAAGGAGTAACATGATATACTAAAGACGTTTTGATTAAGTTATTTTAGAGAGACAAAGTGAAGACACGATCTTTTACAGCGTTTAACAATAAAAACTAAAGAAATTTCTTGAAAATATTAAAAAAAATTCTTTGGTTATCTTATGTCTTTATGTAATCGCGCGTTTGATATTTATTATAGTTCAAGGTTTCAAATACTTATCTCGAAAGTTTTAGTGGTCGCGCACGATTAAAATACATATTACATAATTATTATAATTAATGATAACATCACAATGTCCAAGATTTACAAAAATATTCACCGACACTTAAGTTTCTTTGCATGAAATGAAAATGAGGTTGTTAAGAGAGTGTTAACTATGAATGTGGAAGGATTTAGAGGAAGAGGTAGACCTAAGAAGAAATGGATGGATTGCGTGAAAGACGATATGGGTAGGAGGGGGGGAGTGAGCGAAGAAATGGTATATGATAGAAGAGTATGGAAGGAGCAAACATGTTGCGCCGACCCTAGGTGACTGGGAGAAGGGCAGGATAATGATGACTTAAGTTTCTTTGCAGACGTAATTGTTCTAAAGTAATTTTATGTTTTCTGCTAGGTATCAGGAATAATGGACATTTAGCTTGGCTAACCATGCTGGTTTGTTAATTCAGCTTAAAATAATTCGGAATTAATCTAATTCTGAACATATAGGTCACGATGATATATCACGGGTCGCGAGTTCCCTTGCTGATTAACTTATTATTTTTAAAAAAAATATTAAAAAAAGAACTGCCGTTTCCGGGATTAGGCTAATTAGGTTGGCAGATAAGTCCTTTTATTACCGATATGAATGGGGAATTGTAATTGTAATTTTAATAATCGCCATTGAAAAGACGAAAGCGTTGTGAGAGTGACTACTTAAATATACTATAAGCTATTATAAAATACTATAACTCTTTACTATAATAAAAAATATTAACTGGATATGCAATTCTTGAAACCGTATTCAGTAGTAACAAGTTAGAAGTGTCTCTTCACCAGGCTAATTCATGGAGATAATGATTGTTGCTTAATATTCTCTTACACTGATCACCTGATTAGCAGATGTAGTCCTTTCTTGTTCGGAGGGCGGTAGCACGAAGCTACGCCAGTCTTACCATAGCCTTCTCTGGTCATTTAACAGATGTTAGAGCTCTGATTCTTTTTCGGTATCCCTTGTATTTCCGTGGAGCATCAGAGACAACTTAAATGGAAAAATACCTTCAAATTACCACTGTCGAAGGATGTCGTGGCTTAAAGGATAATCCGTTTTTACCCCTACCTATGCTGATAGCCTTGAGAGGCTATTTCAGCTTCGCCTTGACGTGTAGGTGAGCTCGGGGTGCTCAAACCGTAGTGTTGCTAACACTGATCCTAGCAAGAGCAGTGCTTTGCAGAATCTATCCCCGGATCGGAAACGCGACCTACTGAGAAGATCCGGCGAGAAACTCAGTGGGCTGTGTCTATAGGGTTAATTTACTTTTTTTTTTTTTTTTCTTATTGCCTTTATAGGCAGACGAGCATACGGTCCACCTGATGGTAAGTGTTCACCGTTGCTCATGGACGTCAGCAATGCCAGGGGCAGAGCCAAGCCGCTGCCTACCAACTAACCTACTTGTCGAGCCCTTCGTCGCAAGCGACGGGTTCGACGAGGACGGTGCTTGTGGTACCTAAAAGCACCATTAATGGATCGGGATAATCCATACGGTGTACCCACACATGCCGCGGCTAGCCAATCTCTCTAAGGAAACGTGCTTCCGATTGATCTCTACGATGAAGGAATAAACAGTAACGTGTTATAAAAGCAGATCCGAATATCTTCTGAATTTGCGTGATTATTGGTGGTATCGCTTATTTTAGCACCAATAACCTGTTTATTTCTGCCCTGAAGCGGCCATGCGTTCTGTTACGAAGAGCGGCACAATAAAATTGTGACCTCATGACCTCATGGCGACATTCACGTTGTAATTTAATGAGCTCTGATAACCACTTGAGGATTGACCCGTTAGATCGTTCGCCAATATGACAGCGATAAAAAAAATATACGAGAAATGTTTCTTTATCATTAAAATGCGGTCAATGTCTTCATTTTTATTTTATTTTAATAGCGTTATGTTATTATCGTGAATAAAATTTGAAAATTTAAACAATTTATACCTACTATAGAATGAGATTTGATTTATTCGCCTTCTGTTCAAAAGCGAAAAGCGATGATTCAAGATTTTTAGAATGTAGGTGATCTGGTTAAATTACAATTTTAAAGCAAACAAACAAATTCACGGCGCACGTTTACAGGTTGAGTGAATGAAAACCTGAATGCCCATATTGAGAAAAGGGATCGAACGCAATAATTTTTTTTTTTTTTTTTTTTTTTTTTTTTTAATTGCTTAGATGAGTGGTTACTGGAGCCCATAGTCATCTACAACGTAAATGCTGTTGGAATATTTGTTAAAGAATAGTTTGTAACACTAGTCTGTGGAACATGAATCTGTATAATCTACACTGCTCTATGGAAACTAAATAAAAAGTACTCCGTGATGGCTGATTAAAACAATTCTTTTTATTTCTCTGATCGATCGCTATAACGCTGCATAAAACTCAACAGGTTATGGGCCCAGAGTACCCAAAGTGCCTAAAAATTTCGTAAGGTGAGAAAGTAGTAAAAGTTGGAATATAATGTAAAAATAATAGTGTCCATTGTTCGAAATATTTTGTAAAAACAAAAAACAAAAAAAAAAATGGCGTCAACAGTTCCAGTAACAAACGCCATAAATTATTACCCACAACTTAACGTGGAAAATTACAATAGCTGGAAGTTTCGACTGAGATGTCTATTAGACGAAAAATCTTTGTTAGAGGTAGCGTCAAGTGGCGTTATAGAATTAAAACAAAAAACTGCTGATGCGGCTGCAAAAGCCTTAATAGTAAAATGTGTACCNTAAGCTGTGAGTGAGACAGCAGTATTAATATTGTTTTATGTTGTCCGATGGCAAGTTTATACATTTATAATTTTAGTTAAATAAGATTTGAGTTTAAAGAAACTTGTCATCGAAGGGGGGTGTTGGAATATTTGTTAAAGAATAGTTTGTAACACTAGTCTGTGGAACATGAATCTGTATAATCTACACTGCTCTATGGAAACTAAATAAAAAGTACTCCGTGATGGCTGATTAAAACAATTCTTTTTATTTCTCTGATCGATCGCTATAACGCTGCATAAAACTCAACAAATGCGCCACCCGCCTTGAGATATAAGTTCTAAGGTCTCAATTATAGTTACAACGGCTGCCCCACCCTTCAAACCGAAACGCATTAATTACTGCTTCACGGCAGAAATAGCCACGGTGGTGGTACCTGCCCGTGCGGACTCGCAAGAGGTCCTACCACCAGTAAAGAAGTATCTTATAGACACGACATATTCTTTCTCTGGGGCGCGGTATAAGTTGTCTCATAATATTCTACATATAGCAGCTATGGGGTGGGTCTAATCTAATCTTGTTGTCTATCCCAGTTTTTGATTTCAATCGTGATAATAAAGGGCATCTGGTCTGGAGTCTATATTAATAATAAATAAATAATGAATATAAATATTTACTAACAATCACGCCACATTAACTGGTCCCGTGCTAAGTTCGTAAAGAACTTGTGTTACAAGTACCAGATAACGGAAATAAATATAATATTTTTATTATACACATACATATATTTAATATACACCCATAACCCTGGAAAGACATTTATATTTATCATACAAATATCTTCCGTTGGCGGGATTCGAACCCGCGACCCCCTTGTGTAGTGACCATGTCACTTACCACTACACCAGACGGCCGTTTTGGTCCAAATAAATTACTTCATTATAACCCTATAGAATACCGAACAGTACGGCGGTGGTTCCCAGCATCACAACCTTCAGATTTCTCTGGACGCTTGTTTGATTTGTAGGAGTCATAATATTCCCTACCATCAGTTCTAGAGTACCAATATAATAATTTATGTCCTAGAACGAGTGCTAGTACATACTTCGATTACAAACAACATCACCTAATTGTTTTTATATTCTTAATTTGTTGTTATTCCCAAATTCAGAATAACAAAACTAAAAAATATCGATAGATTATGTTAATTTTATTGCTCTTTTAGAAAATCATATGTGTTTGAAATATTCATTACGGCACTCAAATGTGTAAATTTAAACTACTATTTAGATATCAAGAAGTGTTCTGAATTCGTAATATATTATCATAAGGATATAAGATATAAGTGGATGTGGGGATATTTATGTTCTCTAGACTCCGAAATAGCTGGACTGATTTCGATGAAATTTTTAAGAAATCTTCAGATTATCCTAACGAGTTAGTCTCTGAAGTTTCCTAAAGGTCGGATTAAAGTGAAGTCAAAAATCGGCCGGCGAAACTAGCCGTATTTAACTAGATTAAAGATAAAAACTAGATATATATAGAGAGAGAGAGAGAGTGGATGTATAACCAAAAACTGTGTTATTATCTATAGTCCGGCCGATGAAAGAGCGCGTTTGTGGCAGGTCGTAATCGAACTAATTAAGGAACTTTGAAGTGACGTCGAGTTTGCTATGAAAAAAACTTTACGTATCCGCTTTACCAACGAATGATAATCGTTGAAAAATAATTCCGTCGTGTCAAATTTGTATAAAAGTTATACAAATTTGATGTCGAGTTGATCGCATTCAACGCAGGCACAAAGAAATTTACTAACCCTATTCCACTTATTGACATAAAATTATGACAAAACCGAAAACCGACTTCTACAAAATAAAATGAGTATATTCGAATTCAATTACTCAGATCAGATCTCGGCAAGAGGCTAGTGTTAGCAAATTCCCTCAGGTTGAGCCCGTGAGCTCTATCCGACGGGGCGTAGTTGGAACAGCGCCTTGGGCTACCAGCGAATAGATAGGGAAAATAAAATAAAAAACCGATTTTTATTGTCTAGATAGGAGTGCTCTGAGGAATTGTTTGAGATGATCCCCTCATCTCCTTTTTATCATCGCACCTCCCGCCATCGGAGCAGAGTTCATTCATATTATCTGGAACCGCTGCGTTTATCGACAGTGCGTTTCCAGAGATCTTGCCACGTACCATCCTGTGGCTATGGAATGAGCTCCCCTCCACGGTGTTTCCCGAGCGCTATGACATGTCCTTCTACAAACGAGGCTTTTAGAGAGTATTAAGCGGTAGGCAGCGGCTTGGCTCTGCCCCTGGCATTGCTGAAGTCCACGGGCGACGGTAACCACTCACCATCAGGTGGGCCGAATGCTCGTCTGCGTACAAGGGCAATGAAAAAAAAAGATAGGTGCCGATAGACATCTACAACGTAAAGTATGTTTATAACGGCTGTCCCACCCTTCAAACCGAAACGCATTACTGCTTCACGGCAGAAATAGGCAGGGTAGTGGGTCTACCCGTGAGGACTCACAAGACTTCCTATCACCAGTAATAACATAAAAACTCCATTCCACAGGTTACTAGTCGTCTTAGTTCTGCCATTGCTGTCATCTTGCTTGGCGTACTCCGGTCCAGAATTGCTCAACGGCCGGTACTGCGCCGCGCGTCCAGACGATAATAAATGCTGCTACAATCGAAAAGACGATTGCTCAGTGCCGATATTGGGTGAGTATTCCAGATTGATCCTAAATTTACAGTTATTTGTTTCTTGCCGGATCTTCTCAGTGGGTCGCGATTCCGATCCGATGGTGGATTCTGCGAAGCACTGCTCCTGATGGGGCTAGTTTTTTTTTTTTGTTACTCAGATGGGTGGACGTGCTCACAGCCCACCTGGTGTTAAGTGGTTACTGGAGCCCATAGACATCCACAACGTAAATGCGCCACCCACCTTGAGATACTTTTTTATTTTTTATTTTTTTTATTGCTTAGATGTGTGGACGAGCTCACAGCCCACCTGGTGTTAAGTGGTTACTGGAGCCCATAGACATCTACAACGTAAATGCGCCACACACCTTGAGATATAGTTCTAAGGTCTCAGTATTGTCACAACGGCTGCCCCACCCTTCAAGCCGAAACGCATTACTGCTTCACGGCAGAAATAGGCGGGACGGTGGTACCCACCCGCGCGGACTCACAAGAGGTCCTACCACCAGTAATTACGCAAATTATAATTTTGCGGGTTTCATTTTTATTACACGATGCTATTCCTTCACCGTGGAAGTCAATTGTGAACATTTGTCGAGTACGTATTTCATTAGAAAAATTGGTACCCGCCTGCGGGATTCGAAGTGTTAGCCAATTCTCTCAGGTTGAGCTCGTGAGCTCACCCGTCCGTGCGTATCTCGAATAGCCACATAGGCTACAAACGAATAGGTAGGGGGACAGAAACAGGATGTTGGAAGTGGTGCTTAGTTAACCATTTTACTTGTCTATGCAATATTTTGTTTACGTCATAGACTTCAAACGTGACCTTTAGGCGTAGTTTGAATCCATTGCGGCTTTTGTCTAATTTACACTTTACGAGTGGAACTGCTGCGCTTAGCATTGCGTGGTATCCACTTAGGAACAGTCAAATAAAGACCGTGTATACGCGTATTAAGTTCTGTATATTGCCAATATAGATCACTAATCTAATTGACCCTTGTGTTTTGGCCGATAAAAAAGAAACATTTCCACTGTAGGTACTCTCTGCTATTGCGACGAGTTCTGTGATCACACAAGGCACCACGACGACTGCTGTCCCGATTACAAGAAAGTATGCAGCCCACCTCAGATAACCTCAGTATCGTGCGAATACGAGCAACAGACTTATGCACCGGACGATCAAGTTAACAAAGGCTGCAATCTGTGGTAAGTGCTCATTATTACTCTTAAAGGGAATGACAAAAGGATGATCCTATACCGAGCGGATCTTTTTGTTAGGTATACCAATGTTCTGAGTTGTGTTATCTCGCTCCTGGCCATGTGAGTTCAACGGAAGATTCCGAGCAAGAAAGTAATGTTATTGATAGAGTTTTCGCGGCACCCAACACGGTCCTTAGTTTGACAACGAAAAACTCAATCATAGGGCTCCGTGAACCACTTAACAGCATATGAATCTTGAGCTGGTCTACCAATCATGTATCATATAGCCGTACTCGCCTTCGCTGGGCTTTTAAAATTAACATTATTATTTACTTTCATTATTATTAGGGAGTCCAACACTCATATAAATATTAGCCTATCCATTAAGTACATGAATTTTCTACATGGATACCATGTTTCAAGTCAATCGGGTGAATGGTTCAGTAGTTATAATGGAACATCCGTAAAAACCACAATAGATTTATATATTACTATAGATAAGACCAAGATAATCGGACAACCCATAAAAATAAGTCATTATGTACTTCGTCCGATATTCTAGAACAGAGAATAAAAATATAATCGCATTTTTTAAATAAAAGTCGTGTCGTCTAACAAAATTAGAACGGCACCTTATTTTTAAAGTAGAGTCGTATAATTGCAATGAATCTTGGCAGTAAACAAGGCTTAAAGTGACATGTAGATATTTTAAAAACAAATAAAGAATATGCTCTAATATTTGAGATAAAAATAGATAAAAACACGAGACATTACAGTTTACGCCCAAGAGCTTTAGTCTCTAGCGACAAAATTTCTAAAGGTATTTTAGGCAGATTGAAAATATGAAAAACAGTGTATTATTGATATTAGTGAATTTGAAATCGCGAGACTGGAGGCATTGTTTTACTTCTGCGATATAATGTATTGTTTTATTTACATCAAAATACAGTTTAGCTTAGTAAAAGTATAGCACAAATTGCGTTGCTCTATGAAGAGAAACAACGTTTAAAGCTATTGTTTCACCACTTTTGTATGTTTTTTATATTTCAAAATCCCAAATTGCTTTTATATTTCTAATGTTCTTTCTTCTGATGTTTCAATATTCAAAAAAATCCATTTATGTCATCTTTATAACATATTAACCTCTTTTAAAATAAGTCGTATAGAGGTTACATATATATATATAGTGTATATAGGTATTGTTTTATAAAAATACGCAAAAAACATAATTCAAGCACGCAAACTGTAAATTGTAAACACAGCTAATTGTATAGCAAATTTATTCATTCTCATACTTCAAATGTAAATCAGTAGTGATGTAGCTCTGAATACAGCGATTTTTATATCCTTAATGAATATTTATTTTCAATCATTACTATAAATATACTAATTGGTTGCTTAAAATTTATTAGAGAGATATTCTAGATCTTTCTCTACGCTTTTTAGTTAGAATTTGAAATGCAGTCGATTTTTTTTGTTTATTTAATTTTTTTTTTACATTTATACTTTTCACAATGGCATAAAAATATTAATATAACAGTAAAGCACTAAATAAGTTTTAGTAAAAATGAATTACTTGTATAAACTAAAAATGGTGGACGATAAACTAGACAGTAATTCAGCAAAAAAAAAAAATGTATTAATATTAATATTCATTTGCTCGTAACTTTTTTCCGTAAGTTAGTGAAGGTAAATATATAAATAAAAAAATTGGGAACAACGTAACTTTTTTTCGAAGTTAGTGAAGATAAATATTAGGTATATTTATCTTCATTAACTTAAATAAATATAAATGGGAACAAATCGCACACAATCATCTCGTCCCAAACCAGGATTCCCTGTACTATGGGAACCAGAGACTAATATATGTACAGAAGTAATATATGAACATATGTTTAGAAGTCGTCGTGGCCTAAAGGATAAGACGTCCGGTGCATTCGTATATAGCGATGCACTGGTGTTCGAATCTCGCTGGCGGGTACCAATTTTTCTAATGAAATACGTACTCAACAAATGTTCACGATTGACTTCCACGGTGAAGGAATAACATCGTGCAATAAAAATCAAACCCGCAAAATTATAATTTGCGTAATTACTGGTGGTAGGACCTCTTGTGAGTCCGCACGGGTAGGTACCACCAACCCGCCTATTTCTGCCGTGAAGCAGTGATGCGTTTCGGTTTGAAGGGTGGGGCAGCCGTTGTAGCTATACTGAGACCTTACAACTTATATCTCTAGATGGGTGGCGCATTTACGTTGTAGGTGTCTATAGGGTCCAGTAACCACTTAACGGCAGGTGGGCTGTGAGCTCGTTCACCCGTCTAAGCAATAAAAAAAGTTTCTGCGGTCATTTTTTCCAGAGAGACATATTTTCTTTCCCTGGGAGCCTAAGGGGCTATTCCAGTTACACCTAGTTACGTTCCAGTTAGGCAGCGGCTTGGCTCTGCCCTGGCATTGCTGAACTCCACGGGCGACGGTAACCACTCACCATCAGGTGGGCCGTGCGCTCGTCTGCCTAAAAGGGCAATAAAAAAAAACCCCGAACTCAATTGACATTAGTCACAGCAACGCGCAATCAAATGTCACTTGTGAATAATTCAATGATACACACGCTCTTGACGTATTTCGTAATCAGATTTCTATTGCACGTAGTACCTATGCGTAACGATAATGCTTTGGTTACACAGAATGATTCGTTTGTTTATATTTAGACGTGACCCAGGTGTTTGAGGTGGTGTCCGTAGTCTGGCGTGCGGCCGAGCTTCTAGAGAATGGTATTACAGTTATTCTCAAACTGTTCGGGTGTGCGTCATTTTTGTAATATTTTTTTTTTACATCCGCTATAGCACTGCCAACTGTTATAGAGATTCTCGTAATCTATCTATCTATATATATAAAAATGAATTGCTGTTCGTTAGTCTCGCTAAAACTCGAGAATGGCTGGACCGTTTTGGCAAATTTTTGTCTCGAATTATTTGTGGAAGTTCAGAGAAGGTTTTAAAGGTTAGATAAATATGAAAATGTTCGGAATTAAATAAAAAATAACAATTTCGTTTTTCCTTTGATGTGTGCCCCGTCGGACGGATTCCTTTTCTTTGTTTATTTTATACAAAAGTTTAGGCCTTTTATTTATCGATTGAGGCACTACGAAGTCTGCCAGGTCAGCTAGCAGGTAATAATAATGTTGTGTCTTTGTGTATTCCTCCTTTGGCAGAAGAATATTCGGAGAAACGAAACAAGATTCCATCGAATTTCTTCCCGAGAGGTTCTGAGAGATTTCAATTCTAGATTTTGTCTTATTGAGCATAGGATAAATAGACGAAATGGGAACCGCCTTTGGAATTTAGAGGCCATGGCTACACTATCTATATGTAGATGTCGTGGCAATAAGAGAGACACAAAAAAAAATGCGTTTCGGTAACATAAATGAAATTCATAAATGAATATGCAATTTCAAAAAGGGCACATCTATGAAAATGCAAAATGTTCAGGAAATGAAAAAAAAACTGATTATTTTCTAAAGCAGTGTAAAATTTAAAATATTTACTTTTGAGATATATATTTTAGTGTTAATTAGCAATTGAAAATTACTGGAATTATTATAAAATGGGTGTAGGTAAGTCTCAAAACTACATGTATATGAAAAAACGTATTTGACAAAATATGCGACATGTGCCCTTTTCGAAATTGCATATTCAAATGTATTTTATGCTTTCTTCTACTTCTAAAATCCAACCAATAATGAAATACCTACATGAGAATGTAAGAGTCCGCAATTTTATGAACACTATTGATCTTTTAATACGTCCAGCAGTTTTAAAGTTTGAGAAGCATTCGTCTCTGCAATTCAATTTTAACAGTGACATTGCCAAGGTCGATATTCTATTGCAACACTTACCCGCTACTTTATTTATGGAAAAAAAAATGAATCACTCACATTCTCGAAATATGAATAATGCATGCGTTTTGTTTTTTCCTACCTAAGCTGATAGCCTTGAGAGGCTATTTCAGCGGAAACTTAACTAGTAGGTGAGCTGACGGGGCTCAAATCTGACGACGTTGCTAACACGAACCCTAGCAAGAGCCGTGCTTCGCAGAATCTACCACCGGATCGGAAACGCGACCCATTGAGAAGATCCGGCGAGAAACTCAGTGGGCTGTGTCTGAGGGTTAATTTACTCGTCGAGCCCTTCGTCGCAAGCGACGGGTTCTCTGACGTCTGGATTGATGTACAGGAGAGCCATTTAAAGTTTACAATTTGTAAGAAATATCATAACAAAAAAATACTTCTTCAGGTATTTGAATGAAGTAAGCTTAATTGAAGTTCAATTCAATAATATTGAATTGTTGATGGTGATAACAAATAAAACGCACCATTAATTACAAAGATGTGTGTCGCAGTCCCACGAGATGGTCGGACCAAATACGATCTTCTCTAAGCATCAATTTCGACAATGCCCTTCATGCAGCAAAGGATCGCAGCAGATGGAGGGAAATCGTACGGGAGAAACTGATGCAGCGGGGGAGTCTCGACCCTCAGTAATGAGGAAAACGACGCGAGGAGGAGGAGGAGAGTGTCGCGTATTAAGTGAAATGTCGCTTTCACCCGTCGACTTGTATTCCATATGTGTGTGTCTATAGGCTTCACCTAACGCCATAGGGTAGGGAACGTGATCTCCATCAATAAAATTAAGTCACTTCTTCTTCTCGTCGTTTCCTCATTACTGAGGGTCGTGACCACCTTGGTCCAGTTTTTGCACCAGCTTCCTCCAATGTTGCCTGCATTCGGCCTACTTAATGGCGCCCGGGACGCTGGTGTTTGTGGCCTCCTTGACAATGTCCGTCCACCTGGTTGGCAATCTTCCTCGACTTCTCTTTCCTTCCACTAAAAAGTTCTGGGACGGAAAGGAATGGGAAGTTACCGTTACTATTTTTCCCAAGAAAACCACCATGAGAAAAGTCATCTAGTCACTACGAAGTGTTATTAAATTAATTATTACAATAAAC